CTCCTCCTCCTCCTCCTCCTCCTCCTCCTCCTCCTCCTCCTCCTCCTCCTTCTCTTCTTCTGCTTAGTATTATTTGTCTTCTTCTTCGTCTGAGTTGTCTTTCTCTTGCTATTGTCATTACTATTGTGATTATTGTGGTTAATGTTATCATTGTTATTATGATTATTGTTATTGTTATTGTTAACGTTATAATTGCTAGTATTAATGTTAGTATTAGTATTATTATTCTTGTACTTATTTGTATTATTAGTCGTGTCGGCATGCCACTCGCGCACGGGCTGCTCAGGCTGTTCGGCCGGCGTTTCGGTGAGCTCCGCCTGCGGATACAGAGCAGCCCCTGCGACCCGATGCCGAAGACGCCTGCGGCGAACCGCCGCCGCCCCCCTGCTTTTTGTGCTGCGCGTGTGTGGCCAAACGTTTGGGCAAAGAGTTGCCCACGCTATCGGGCCATGCGGTCCCCCCGCCGTTGTGGAAAAGCCCTTCGGGGAGCACGCGGGGGGAGGAACAGGAGGACGAGGAGAGGGGGGAAAAAGGAGGGAGGAGAAGAAGGGCGAGGAGACCTCTTGGGAGCTTTCTGGATCATTGCTGGGGCCTCGTGGGGGCTTCCGGGGGGCCTGTTGGATGCCTCTTGGGGGCCTCCTTGGGCCTCTTGGGGGCTTTGGGGGGGCCTTGGGGGCCTTTTCGGCCGTTGCAGCGTTCCTAGCCCGTCGGGAGCCGCCTTCGGAGCTTCTCTGGGCCGTCTTGGGGCCCTCTTGGGGCGCTTCAGGGCTGTCTTGACGGCCGTATTGGGCGTCTTGGAGGCTTCTAGCGCAGTCTTGGGGCCCGTTGGGAGCCGACTTGGGAGCCTCTTGGGCCGTCCTGATGCCATCTTGGAGGCCTCTTTGGCGATCTTGGTGCAATCTTGGGAGCCTCTTGGGCTGTCTTGGGCTGTCGGATGGAGGCCTCTGGAGCAGTCTTGGAGATCTCTTGGGGGCCTCTGGGGTCGTCCTGGGCCGTCTTGGAGGCTTCTTGGGCGAACGTGGAGGCACTCTGAACTCTCGGGGGTCGTCTTGCAGGCCCTCCTGGACCATCTTGAGCGAACTTGAGAGCCATCTTGGCCGTCTCGGAGGCAAACTTGGGCCATGGTGGAGCCATCTGGGCCAGGGAAAACTTGTGCAGTCACCCCGAGCGCAGCCTTCTGAGTGGCCAGCCGCGTCGGCCGAAGTCCCAGGGGTAGCTCTACAAGAACCAAGAGCTTCCAAACAGCCAGCATGCCAGGCACCCCTTGTGGCAAGACCACAGGGGGCGGCGGATCGAAGACGCCTACAGCGAATCACCGCCGCCCCCTGCCTTTCGGAATCGCCCACGTGGCGGAACGCCGCGACCAGAGCTCTGCCCAGTTGTCCGACCACGTGTTCCCCCAGCCGTTGTGGAAACCATTCGGAGAACATTTGGGGGAGGATGGCGTGGAAGATCAGGAGGAGGATGAGGAAGATGAGGAGGAGGAGGGGGCATCTTGGGAGCCTCTGGGGGGCACTCTCGTGGCCTCCTCGAAGCTTCCTGAGAGCCTCTTGGAGGCATCTTGACGACCTTGGGCCTCTTAGGGGCCTTTGGGGGCTTCTTGGGGGCCTCTTTGGCCGTCTTAGGGCATTCCTGGCCCGTCTGACGCTGTCGGAAGCCGTCTTCGGGGCCTCTCTGGGCCATCTTGGGACCCTCTTGGAGCGCCTCGGGGCCGTCTTGGAGGCCATCTTGGGCGTCTCGGAGGCTTCTTGGGCCGTCTTGGGGCCCTCTTGGGTCTGTCTTGGTGGCCTCTGGGGCCGTTCTGGGGCCATTTTGGAGGCCGTAACGGCCATTGTGGGGCGAAATGTTGGGCCTCTTGGGCCGTCGGAAGGCCCAAAAGAAGCAAATGCCAAAAAAATGCAAACATTTAAAGACAATCAATCGGTTTGGCCTCTTCGGGATTTCCTGAAAGACCTTTTGGAGGCCTCTTGGGCCGTCTTGGAGGCCTCTTGGAGGCCTCTCGGGCCGTCTTGGCCCGTCTTGCATGCTTCTTGGGCGGACTTGGGAGGCCATCTTGCCCTCGTGGAGGCCATCTGGAGCTGTCTTGGTGGATGTTTCACGGACATTGGGGTGGTTTCGGGGTAGCCGGCGGCATGGACCGACCCCCCAGTGAGGGGGTTCTTTTTGGAGAAGAGCCAAAAAGAAGCCGTGTGTGGTCTAGCACGCCATGATCCTTTGTGGCAAGACCACAGGGGGCGGCGGATCGAAGACGGCTACAGCGAACCACCGCCGCCCCTTGCCTCTCGGAATCGCCCATGTGGCCGAGCGTTGTGGCAAGAGTTCTGCCAAGCTATCGGATCATGTGTTCCACAAGCCGTTGTGGAAACCCTTCGGGGAACAATTGGGGGAGGATGGCGGGGAAGATCAAGAGGACGAGGAGGGAGGAGTAGAAGGAGGAGGAGGAAGAGGAGGAGGAGCAGGAGGAGGAGGAGGAAAGGGCATCCTGGAAGCCTCTGGGGGCTGTCTTGGGGCCTCATGGGAGCGTCCTGCGCCAGGTTGTTAGACCATGCGTGATTAGACCATGCGTTCCCCCAACCACTGCGGAAGCTCTTCGGGGAACACGTG